CACACACACAACATACACACACACACACACACACACACACACACACACGCCTAATGTCACTGTGCCACTGCCCAGGCACCTCGAAGACAAGCCTAGTGTGGAAATCTGCTACCCAAAGTTGAGATGCTGGAAGACTCAATGGAGCAGTTCTCCACGGGGCAGAACCATGAGTCAGAATCGGCTCCACGGCAACCAGCATCATGTGTATCTCAGGTCCCGATGGCTCCTCCTCCGTACAAGGGCTCTGGGGAGCCACTTCCCTTCAATGCACCTCACGCACAGCGAAAACCCACCTCTAGACGGGTGCTTACGAGATGATCAGCTATAATGCTGATCAGGCTTCAGTAGAGCTTCTAAGCTGGAACAGACTGAGAAGAAAGGCCTGGCTCTCTATGACTGAAAATCAGCTGGTGGAAACCACCATGATCCAATCGGCAACCAACAGTGGGGCTGGCACAGGATCAGGTAGTGTTCTGCTCCACTGTGCCAAGGTCACCACGAGCCAGGGACCGACTCTACAACCACTAACAATAGCACCATTCATGCAGGCCTGGAATAAACACACATATATTGTCACAGAAGACTTCAAACCTCACCAAATCTCGGGTCCATTCCTACTCCAACTGGCCCAAGACAGACATTCCTGGAGGCTCAACGTCCTTAAATAACCTATTTACGATGACACAGCCAGAAAGTGGCCCTGAACCCCATCATTTTTCCTGTTACAACTGCCTTGCCTGCTTGCTTCTACATGTTATCTCTTAGTCTTAGTGCTCTACCGGTCACTCACTAGTGTACTGCTGTGGAACGGCAAGGCCAGCCGTTTGACACCACCAGCTACTCTGAAGGTGACAGATGAGGTTTTCCACTCCCTTAAAACCTTAAGGAGTTGGAAACCCTAGGGGTCAATTCTATTCTCTATAGGGACACAATGAATTGGAATGAACTGGAAAGTAATGGGTTGGGTTTGGTTACGGATTTGAACTCTTCAACCTTTTTGTAAAAAGTGTCTTTCTCAAATTGAGGAAAATTCACACCCATTGTCTTTATTTACTGCTTCTCTCCCATTCTTGTTTGGGTTTCTTTCTAGAATTATCTTCCAAACTCTCAAGCTCACGGCCAGTGAGTCACTTTGACTGATAGCGCCTCTGTAGTGAAAGAGTGGAACGGCCCCTTTGGGTCTGAGACTGTAAACCTTTCCTGGAACCGAAAACCTCATCTTTCTCCCACAGAGCAGCTAGTAGGTTCAAACTGTTGACCTTGCAGCAGTCTGATCAGATACTGCTAAAGCTTCTCAGTCTTTCCTGCAAACCTTTCACGACTCGTTCACATTTTCCATCTTCGTTTCTCTTTGTTCTGCCGTCTGAGTGAGTCCCTCCTATTTATTTCCCAGAGAACGAATTCTCTCCTCATCTTTGCTAGTTCATACTTTTTGAACTACTTGTTCATTTTCAATGTTGTCTGTTCTTTCATTAAGTCCCTGGGTGGCACAAATGGTTTGTGTTTATCTACTAACCTGAAGGTTCAAGCCCACCCAAAGGCACTAGAGAACTCTATACTGTAACACACAAGGCCGCCATGTGTCAGAATATACTTGACTGTTACGGGGTTGGGTTTCTTCACTTGTTATCCTTCCATCTTTTACGTCATCTTACACCTAATTAAAGAGCATTGGTTGGGTTGCTACCCACAAGGCCAGCAGGTCAAACCCACCAGGTGCTCCTCCAAAGGAAGAGGAGTCCTGGAGAGACAGGTGAGAGGATTTACAATATTTTACAACCCCGGAAACAAAGGGGAAGCTCTACTCTGTCCTACAGGGTCAATAGATGTTGGAATTGGCTCTGTGGCAGTAAGTTGAGTCCACACAAGGATTGCATAGTACTGATCGGCTTTTCGTATAAGCTCTTATTCTTGTTCCTAAGAGCTCATTTGTCAAAAGAGCTGGCTCTGCCTCACATTCGTCTTGGTGTGAGTGCATCCTGAGAGGAGCGTGTTCACCATGGCAAGACCACACTTGCCCTGGGGTAGGGCAGTGTCACTATTGGGTTGTCTTGTTGGGGGTTCTCAACAAGGGGACAAGAGAGGAGTTATCTTCTGCAGCTACTGAATCCCAATTTCTCCACTCAGGAATAAATATGGATCTCTTATGCAAAGTGGCCAGCCCAACTCAGAGAGTTTATCATGCGCCTCACTCTCTGTGCAAGATTCTGAGTCTAGGGGAAATTAAAGAAATAAGCTCTTGAACTTGTGAGTTATTGTACACTCAGGCCATGAAAACGGGGGTGGGACAGAGCTGAGTGCTCTCCCTGCCCAGGCAGCAAGTGGCACGTCTCACACGTCTTGACTTGGGTGCGTGGCTTTGGAGAATCCCTTCACCTGTCTCTCCGGTCTCCCAACCTTTATTAAAGTTGCTTTTCACTATTCATTTGTGAGAATGAATGCTCCCATAGAGTTCCAAATGAATGTTGTTTTTAAAAATATTATTATTACAAATACATACAAACGATGGCTTTGAATTGAGTGAGTTTTTAATTCCTGGTTTGGGGTTTCGATAATTCTCTACAGATTCTACTAATCTTCTTTCATAACAGTGTCCTTATAATCAATCTCCTACTGTGACGAATTTCCTAGTTAAGGAGATTACCAAGCTACATTGGAAATTATACTTATACTTAGGAAATAATTCAAAGACAACTGTTAAGTATCCCACACCCTCCAAAACAAGGCTAACACATCACTGTCACTCTCCTGAAAATGTCATAAAGATACATTACAGCTGTCAATGAAACATTATAAGTCACAACTCGCACTAAAATATGTGTGTGTGTGTGTGTGTGTGTGTTATACAGCTGTATTTAATGTCTGGGGGCGGGGAACTTCCACAGTTAATTATCAAGATATTTTTTCTAACAAGTAAACTATTTTATAGCAACCAAAAAAACCCCTTGAAATTATTCCTTCATTGTAAAGCCTTCAATGCATCAAAGAGGAGACATAACAGGGGGAAGTTTTAAAGATTTTTTAGTGGACATATTCACAATGGAAAATTTCAGATTAAATAAATTTCTAATGTTATTTACTTTAAGATATAAAAACAATTCCCCCTTAACTCACAGAGTCAAGCATATGTATTTTTACCTCTGAACTTCTTGGGAGGGTTGGTCAGGTCCCCTGCCTCTGGATGTACCACACATCTGTCATCCACCAACCTAGAAGAAAAAGCATGTTTACATTGTCAACAGAAATAGGTTCACACACACAAGCTAAAATGTGGACATTGTAGAAATAGTCACAAAATTTTAATGTGTTCTTAACTAAGAAACTTTTTTTAAGGATGACGGATTTGTAGAAAGATTGGGTTGTATCTGTGCTAACTCGAGCAAGGTTTATGAACTTGAGAAATACAAAGCAAGGTTAATTGGCAGAAAATTGCTTTGCTAAATCATGGTACAGATAAAAAGCGGAACACTGCAGAACTATATATAATTCTATCCCAAAGAAAGGAGCCCTAGTGGGGTGGTTGTTGTGCTAACCACAAGGTCAGCAGTTTGGTTAAACCCCCAGTTGCTCCACAGGAGAAAGCTAGGCTTTCTCCTCCCGTGAGCACTTGCGTCTCAGAAACCACAGGAGCAGCTCCACTCTGTCCTATGGAGTCGATGTGAGTCAGCACCACCTTGGTAGCAGTGAGCTTGGTTTTGAGTTGTATCCCAAAATAAAAAGCCACCGGCCAACAAAGCAATTATATTTTGAAAATTAGTGTCAACCAATCGATAGGATCATATATGTTAAAACATCCACATACAAACTCCTCTACACATACCAATATAAAGAATAAATCGTGTTTTGTTTTGTTAATAATACAGGTAAGAGTGATGAGATCAGGTGTGTGGCGTGAGCAGCAAGCAGGATAGTTCTGAGCACTCTTTACGCCTTCAAACACTCAGACCCTTTCCAGCCAAGTGGCATTGGACCCCCTTCGTTACCCTTGTACAATATGGACTAACGGTGTCAGTTGCTGTTGAGTTGATTCCAACTAATGTAACCCTACCTGTGCAGAGAGGAACTACTCTATAGCTAGGACTCGGTTGCCCAATAAGCAAGGTAAGCACATGCTTGGGGCATCAACAAAATAGAGCACCTGTTAAACAAACCAAAGACTCACAGATGCCAAGCAGATGGACACAAGAAAAAGTGAATACAGAGGTAGAAGGCAATGGGCAGTGCAATACAGGACCCTGATACTGCCTCCAGTACGTGAGAATGTACTTGCTGGTACTAAAGCTCACCAGGGTTATGAGGTCACCCGCATACAAGGTAGTTTAAGCTAGAAGGCCCCTACCTCTGCAACACCTTCATTGGCATCTGTCTCTTACAGTTCCCTCTTCTGTGATTGAAACTCCTTATCTCAGCAGGTTACTTGGGGGTATACTATTTCCCTCTAGTAAACAAAATGGTGGAGATGAGCTTTCAAGCCTATAACTTTTGCTACATTCACCTAATAAGCAACTGGATCCAACACAAGGAGTGACTGCGCAAGGATGGATGATATTAACAGTTAATAGGTCTCTGATCCATTTTAAGAGAATGTGTTGTACATCCACGTCTGCTTACCCAGTAACTCTAGCCAGTCGGCCAGCAGTGCTATGATACAAGCACAGGGTATACATACAAAGGTATACATCTCTTGTGTACATCTTATAAGCAACCAATGGGAACACCAGTTACAGATCAAAGAAACTCCAACAACAAATTCAATCAGGTTACTTTGTTTTCCCCCCTCCTTTTTGAATCAATGGCACACTATTCAGATTTGGAAACCTAGATATAAAAAGAGGCCAAGCAGAGTCAGTCCAGTGTCGGGGGTCTTCCAGGGAGTCTGTTTCAGATGTGAAGCCCAGTAGGGCTTGTCCTTCAGGTGGACACAGCAGTTTCCTGAGTAAAGGCCAACCCCAACCCTTCCCTTAGGACAGCACCTCAATCCAAAAACAAATGCAAGCACCCCCCTACCCCCCTGCCCAGGCTTTGGCCAGTTTCCAGGGTCTCCTGTTTCCAGGCAGTCATCACATGGGTTAAATTTTGAGCCAGACCTGGGAGGTAAAGGGTATTCAAAGAGCAGGATCAGCCGCCCTGGGATCCCAACAATTCCTCGATATCATCCTGCCTGTCCCCGACGAGGAAGGAAATCAACAGACTTCCCACTCAAGAACAGGAACACTGGAGGGAAGAAGCCCTCCCCATAGAGCTAGTCATTAAGGCGCATGTTAAAAATAAAGCAAACCAGTCCCAGTCCCTCTCAGTGCCTACAAAATCCTGTAGGATGAGGTGAAGGCCTCGCCTCCCTGGGACTGCAGGACCTTGGAGGAGGTCTCAAATGTGCTCTGCAGCTCCTGGACTCCCCTCCTCCTCTGGGGGTGGATCCAGGAAAGTTGAGGTGACTGATGACGGCTTCTTCATCCCTTGGGGTGAGGATGAGACCCCCATCATCAGGAAGGTTTTCTTCTTCCAAAACCACCTCCATAGACCCTGGTGTTGTCAAGCATGACCACGTCCCAGGTATGGGGCACTCGGCAAGCTGGGTCCAGGCGGAGAAGGTATCATCTTTCTCCATTCGTACAAAGGCCACATCGGTGTCCCCTTCGGGTTGGGCAGGAAAGAATCTTCACCAGGGTTCCTGCTGTGGTCCAGGATCTCAGCCTCACTGAGCAGGCAGTGAATTTCCACTTCTTAGGCTTCCTTCCTCTGAAATCTACATTCCAAAGCTGGACGCCAGGAACCATGTTGACCTTGTACTGCTTAATGTAGGCCTCATCGAAATAGCCAGTCATGTTGAGACCCAGAAAGCCAAAATGGTAGGGTAGGGAAATGCCAGGGCTGACAAACTGCCCACCTCAGCTTTATTTGGGCATCCCCATCTACATGCCCCGGTCTCAGTCCCAAAGCTTTTCTGGTTTGGGCCACTTGAGCTCAAGCTCCTCCTTGTACAGGGATTCCCAGCCTAGTCCAGGCATGGTCTCCACACAGTACAGGGGCGCCAGGACTCCAGCGGTGTGGTCACAGGCTTGCTCGTTCCAAGCTGAGATACCGTGTAAGCTGTCATCCTTCTCCAGCAGATGGATGAACAGGCTCAAAACTGGGGGTGGGGTGGGGGTGGGGCCTCACAACCATGTCCAGGTATTCTTCCAGCAAACGTAGCTACAGGGAAGAGATTGAAAATGGCAATGAGGCAGGCCTTGCAGA